TAAACAAAAACAACGGAAAAAAAACCGTAAGCTATCAAAAGGCAGAGAAAATCATAGCACAAAGACAGAGATAAACGTACCATAAAGGCAGATAACATGTCACAAAGACATAATTGTTCTTATTTAAAAACTAAAAAAATAGAGATAACCGGCGAGCGAAAACCAACATTAAAATCGATGCTGCCATCGATTAAACAAAATTAAAAAAAATTGAGTTGACAATAAAATTAACCCAAATTGTAAAGAATAAAAAAATCAGAAGAGGAAGAAAACGGGTAAGATTTTATATTATAGTGTTCATCCGTTTCTAAAATGACTTCACTCCAAATTAATATATATATATATATATATGGAATATAATATATATATTTCAATTGTTTTAAAGACAAGGCAGTCCGTTTAGCCAATCATTTTTATCATAAAATTTAATCAATAGTAAACCAAATTAATTAAACTAAAAAAAACTGAATCGACTTCTTTAATTGTTTAGTTTGATTCTTATTATCTTGAACGGTAAAATATTGATTTAAAAAGCTTTTCTAAGACCCTATTTTAGCTAAAATGTGTTCTTCTGATATGTCTTGTATATCTTAGAAAAGCTTCCCATCGCAAATAACTGCCCGTCTAGTTCAGCCTTCGGAGCGCAAGGCTCTTAACTTGCGGTTGTGGTTCGGGCCCCACTGTGGGCGCGCTTTTCTGTTTTGTCCTTCTTTTAAAGTTGAACACAAAAAGCCATTTACAAATGATGTTGGGCTTTCGTTTGTAGAAAGAACTTAGGCCAAATCCAACCCATATTAACTTGAAAATGCTTGCTTTCTTAGCTATCCTTCCCCAAATCACTGAATAAACATAAATATTATTTCATATTTTGCATGTGACTTTACATTACACTTACCTCCTTATGAATCTTATTAACCAAGTATTTGACAGTATGATTAACGTGGTGTAAAAGTAGTAAATAATTAATTCATGTTTTGCATGTGTCTAAATGCTGGTTAGCCCAAAACCGAACAGCCATTGCTTTTAGATCCAAAAAGATGAATAGTTTACCACTAGTGCATGCCCATAAAAATCTGCCTACGCGTTATACGAAGCATGCATTTTCCTCCTTTATTGTATATTCAACAAGCAAAAGGCTAACAACCTTTCTCATATGCTCCACCTACCACTGCAATAGTTTATGAATAATAAGTTCATCTCAATCATCATTAACATAATGTCTCATAGGTTCAACGAGGTTTCCATTTAAGATTTAGTTGAAGCTGTGAAAAAGACTTTGTTAACTTTAAGATTTTAACTTCTATTGTATGCAAGTATTATTTATGAATTCAAACTCATATGTAGGAGTGTAAATGAATCGGGTCTGAATAAAGTTGTGTTCATATTCATTTGTTTGTTTTTGAAGGTATTCATGTGTTGATTCGTGTTCATTTAATTTTTTAGTATTGTGTTTGTGTTCGTTATTTGTTTTTGAAAGTGTTCGTTCGTTTAGTGTTCAAGAACATGACCGTTTAATGTTCATGTACATGTTTGTGTTAAATGCTTAGCAACCAAAACTCTATTTTTATCCCTTTTTTTGCAAGCCAAAGAGAAATGGTGAAATTATGTTACTAGTCCTTAATATCTTTAGGCATCAAAGTTTGAACTCCAAAGTTTATTTTATGTTCAATTTAGTCTTTAGCTTTACCAACATTTAAAATAAAATAAAAAATAAAAGAAAAAAGAGAATCGAGTAAACGAGCTTATAAATGAGTAGATAAATGAACTTATAGACGAGTAGATAAACTAGTTTATAAACAAGTAGATAAACGAACTTATAAATGAGTCGATAAACATGTGAATCATGTTTTTATTTATTTTAATTTAGTTTTAAATATCCTTTTACTGTCAATTTCATTATACATTAATGAATAAAGACATGGCTTGAACATTTTGAGGGGGAAAAAAGACATTTGCTTGAAGATGTTATATAGTAGGTGCTTTGATTAAGAGTAAAATGATAAATTTTAACTTCTCAAGCAAATGTATGTATGCATGTTAGTATGTGTAACATCAGAGTCTCAATAAGTAGGATAATGTTACCTTGCCAATATGGAGATTAATTAATTATTTGATGCAAATAATAAACGACAAATGGATGGCACTCTAAGAATCTTTTGTCAATTTTATCAAAGATTTCATGTCTTCCATAAAGGCAATATATAGATAATTAAAATTAAAATAATTATAATTTAAATGTAAATAAAACCCTTTTAAAGCTAAAGAAAAGCATGCATCAAACTTTAAAGCGTACCAATACTTTAACTAACACAAAAAAGCAATATAAATTTTAAGACAATAAAATATATATAATCAAAGGCATTAAGGCAGGACACAAATTCGTAGTTAATTTATGTCGTCTTGTCGTGTCTCCCAATAATTTGGCGAACATGAATTCATTATGCTTAAACTCAACATTAGGCAAAGCTTTCTAATTAAGTATGCGCTTAACATCCATCTATAATTTTGTAAATGGATCGGATTAGATTTAGGTCAAGTATATACATTACTATTTACTAGTATTAGAGGTAGGATTCGATTATATTATATAAAATTCTTTAATTTTATTTTAACTCAATATCATCCCCTCAAATTCAAGACTAATCTGAATAAAAAATCAAATGGTGTTTTCTCTCTATATATGTAAATACTATATTAACCGGTGTTGTTAAATGATGATTGCAAATTCTAACTAACCCAAAAGTTTGAGTATATTGGATGAATCTTCTGGAAGTTTAATGAGTTGATGGGTGGAGTTTTGCTTTGGGAATTAATGTTAAAATAGAGGGTACGTGTAAGATGGTGATGGTCCATTTGTAAACGTATGATAGGGACCAACTCCAGATGTCCAAAATCTGATGGAATCACATTAATATTTGATCTCAGAATATTCAGAAAGCTAGGAGAGATTAATTAGTGTGGGGTTCAATAATCCACCGCCTCAGACCCTCATCCCGCCTTTCACTTTCACTCTCTCCTTCCCATTTGTTTGGTCGTTTTCAAGACTAACCTTTGTTTCTTTTATTGCATGTCTTTATCGCGTGTTTCGCGTTTGCATTTTAAATCAGTAGCACTATGAATAGGATCTATGTTGTTATCATTTATATAAATATGTATTATAAACTTTCCATGCATGATTGAGGGGCAAGTAATTTAATCAATAATTGGATCAGCTAGATTATGATGAATTCCAATACTAATGTGTTGAATTTTGCATGTGTGGCATGCATTAGACGATGGTTTATATTAGTTTTATTTCGTCTATCAACGATAAGCGGTAGACCTCCTATAAATTATTTATGTACTTCGATTTTTTTTGGGAAAACAATAGAACAATAGAGAGATATATAAAACGAGTCATCTCAATAGGAGAATCTCACTAGAGACATCTCTTATATACTTGTGAAGGGATCATTAGTCGTCTCTACGCTCTTAATAACAAAAGGATCATGATAATTCATTCTGTTTGGGAGAGAGAAAAATAAATTTTAACCTGCCCTCAGACTAGAGACTTCGATTAAAAAGTTTGAATCATTACACGAAAGAATGCGTCTCATTTAGAGACATTGTCGAGTGTCCTTAACACCAATCTGTGGAGATAACACTCTTAGATTAAACAACTCATATAATTCAGATAATGTAATCATGAAGTTGTTTAGGAGAAGTAAAACATGGTATCAAAAGGTTATAATTAAAAGCAAAGGCTATTAGTTGGAAAAGCGACATGCATGTCTATCCCACAAATTTCCATACTTTCACTAAGTATTTCACCTAACATATTACCTAAACCTTTTGGCATCTAATAAAACATTCAGACTGCATCCCAACAATTTTCTCACTATAAAATCATGCCAAATAAAGTTAAAACTAACGCTGGTAATTAAAAGAACATACATACTTTGGACTTTAATGTTGCCCACCTGGCTTACCAACATCAAAGATTTTGCCCGCAAGTTATAACAAAGGACCAATAATGTAACACTATACGACATTAATCGGTTCATCGAGATCAATCATTACATTTCTAAATTAAATTAAAAGATTCATACTCTAGTCTGAATTAAACAATTAACAAATTAAATGTTGATGATTATGAAAAATACAACACCCATTTTAATTAACTTAACGGGAAAGGAAGAACAATTTTTTTTCCTTTTGCGAATAATTGTACGTAATGCTATTTATTATTCACAAATCAAAAGGTCATTCCCTTTAAGAGAAAGAGCCAATATGGGAGTTACGTGGCATGAAAACCAAAAGCATATCCCCTGTCAAACCCATATAGCTAATACAATTTTAAGCACATCTTTCAATAATTAATATTATTTTAAGGACTAGAATGCTAAATAATCCCTTTTTTTAGTTATTTCTTCGTGTGTGATAGCTTTATAAACACTTGCTTTTGTCAACGACCACCATTTGTAATTCAATAATTGGCCTCACCATAAATCCCAGTTCCAAAGTAAACAATGCTATACCACAATTGTCCATAGTTTTTTCACTTTTTTTTTAAACAAAATGAAAATAAATCACTAAAAACAAGAAAACAAGAATAAAAAGCAAAAGTGATTTCAGGGCAAAGAAGTTGAATGTTTAAAAGAAGGGGGTCCGGCTCTCGAAGTTTGCTTTAACTTAGTGGAATCACAATCGATTACACTAAAATTAAAAGTAATAGTAATCGATTCGAATATAGGTACAGAATTAGAATCCAACCTTAAAACGAATTAAAATATTTTATATATAAAAAAAATTAAGAATTTATATCTTTGACTTCAGTTAGATTAATGGGGGGAGATGAATCAAGCATGCAATTCTCATATAGGGACAGTATTTCTCATTTACATTACAACAAAAATTTTCATGATGAACCGAAAGAGTTATTTACATCACAGGTTTAAATAGTGGTTTATTATGTAACAGTAAGGGTAGTATTTAAAATCGCTATTGTATGAACGCAATAACTACAATGACCGTAATAATATTTGTTATCTACAATCACGATAAACACAATGTAATTGAAAACGTGACCTCAACCGTAATTTAAATCCATGGTTTAAATAGTAACAACGAAAGCAAAACATCAACTTAGAACTCGGACAGTATCTTATTCTGCTGCTTCAAATCCTTGTAAAACCTGTTTATGAAATCCTCGGCAGCTTTGTCTACGTAACCGTTGTCCTCATCCCCATCCCTCAACGGAAAAGGAGAGTCGGTTACCCTAAGTTGTCTCACCAACGGAGTTTGTCCGAACCCTGGCAACATAGGCGAAGCCGCAACAGCAGCAGCTTCCATGTCGTTGTTGTTAAGCATCTCCAAGACAACCTTAACGGCGTTCATGGTCGCCAAGTTATCGTCGTCGTGAGTTGGAGGTGCGTGGACGCAGGCAAAGAACTGGTGATAGTAGTTGTTACTAGTGTTCTTCTTCTTGTGGTTGAAAGGGAAGATATAGTTGGGAGTGTTGCTGCAGCTGAACTCGTACTCCATGACAGCCGCCGCAGGTGAGACCTGGCGGTGGTGGAACATGAGGTTGCCGATGGCCTTGGCGCCGGCGATTTTGCCACGTTTGAGCGCCATGTTGAGATCAACCACCAACTTTTTCTTTGACACAATCCCTTTTCTCATCATGAAGAGGACTGCCCTCACAATGCTCCACACTCTTTTGCTGATCACTGGCAGATTTTGCTCCATTTTTTTAAGCTTAGCTTATACTAATTAATTTTCTTTGAGAAAGAGAGAGAAGAGGGAGGAAAGTGGTATTTGTTTGGGTTAAAGGGAGAGAGGGAGGGGGAGGGTATATAGAGGGTATGAGAAGCATCCATGGATGTATGGAAGAGAACTGCCCTCACAATGCTCCACCTAGGATGCATGGATGTTTTTTTTAAATGTTTATGGATTTGTATGTGTATATTAAACTTGATAATATCATTTAATTAAAAAAATTGTAGAAATGAAAATAAAATTACTTCTAATAAGATAATATTTATATTATTTTTTAAGATTTCTTTGGCATTAAGTTATCTCATGATTTTAAATTCATTAAGTGACTTCGATGATAAAAGAGAATTATATTTTTCTTTAAAGATCTCGGGTTCAATCAGTTATTTTGCACAATATATGTGTATCATAAAAGGCTAAGAAAATTCTGAAAAGATATTACATCTTATAATCACCCTAGACTATTAAAAAATATTACATGATTTAAATAAATCAAAATTAAAATTAAACAATAAGAAATATTTAATTTGAGGAGTATTTAAATTAGCAAGTACTAAAATTACGATGAAACAAAAAAAAAAATTGAAACGTTTTAATAGCTTCGTACCTGGTTTTAGCTATATTAAAAGTTCTGTTAATCAAACTCTTAAGCTTGAAAAGAATATTTTTTATTCACAAAAATATTTAAATTTTATTTAAAAAATATTGAAACTTTTATTACTCGACTCAATTATGTTTATTTATTCATCACATACCTAAAGAGAGATAGATATAAATTGTATTTATCACACACGAAAAAAGATAGAAAAAAATAGATACTCATCGTATTTATCACATAGACACACATACATGTGTACTCTCTCTTTTTCTCCCTCATTTGTATAGTTTGTTCCAATCATATTAAAAGGGAAAAATTAATATATAGGAGCAAAATAAATTATTAATAAAAATTATAAAATAAAAATTTAAAATATATGAGAATTTAAAATTTATAGGGAATGATTGTCCCTACTTACCCTCCTTCTATCCATTCCTGATAAAAGAACTTTATAAATCTTTAAAATATCAATGTCGTTTCTTAAATAAATTCACTAATTAAATTCTTTAATTAAAAAATTAATTATTTTCTAATTAAATATATATATATATATATATTTGTGCATAAATGACTGTTGACATAATAAAGTTTAACTGAAGAATATGAAAAGAAATCAAAGAAAGGGACAACAGATAAATAAGGGAGTCAATTGACAACAAGAAAACATTTTTAAATTTTCTTTTATAAAATTCAATATGAAAATATTGAAAATAAAATTTACATCATTTAAATTATTATATATTTTAGATTTTTTTATTGATAATTTTCGTCTTCTTAAAATTTTGTCGTTCTCAAAGAACTACTCTTTAGTCCCTACAACCTCACCTTTGCAAATTTCCAAAGCACGTCCACGAAGAAGAAGAGGCAAAGACAAGTTGGAATGAAAAAAGGCGTTCAATGATCAGTTATGAGAATCAACAATAGGTTACAGTTCAAATGCCTTGTTGGCCAATAATCAAAGGCAAAGTCTCTTTTGAAAAATAAAGAAGGAATTGTTTGTGGCTGAATTTGGTACTCCATCTATTTTTCCTTTTATATATAATCTCAATAGCGTACTAATATTTGTAAGGCTCCTCTTGATTTTCCAGTTCTTTGTACCTTGTTCCACTTTTCTTTTCTTTTTTCATTTTATCTTGGGTATTGATTAATTGTTATCCCTAGAAGTTTTAGATCCGAACACGACGTCTGTAATAATATTTAAATATTCATTATCAAGTAAATGTTATTCCCAAATTATAAAGAAGAAGAAAAAAAAACACTATCCATTTTTCTCGAAACATTTTTCTTATTCCATCCATACCCTACATAATTTTAAATAAATATATTGTACTATGATACATTATTATTAATATATATATATATATATATATTCACTGTACACTATATAAAACTAATTAGTTTTACATCAATTTATAACCATTAGATGTAAATAAATGAATGGGTGAGGTTTAATTAAAATATATTACTCATAAATAAATATTTTAACACAATAAAATAATATTCTTTCCTTATTAGGGTTAGGGTTTAAGAATTAGAATTAGAATTTAGGATTTAGAATATTGGGTTTTGGAATTGGTATTTAGGGTTTTAGGTTTGGGATTTTTAAATTTGAGGTAAAAAATATTATTTTATTGTGTGTTAAAAGATATTTATTTATGAGTAATAAATTGGTGTAAAACTAATTAATTTTACATAGTGTAAGAACCTATCCCTATATATTGTTCCATTGTATATGAACATTTTTATTCAAAATTTAAATTCTAAATAAAATAATTTCACATTGAGAAATAAGTTTTTAAACTGAAAGGTGAACCCTAAATAACAAGTCTTCCAAGCTCAGTTCTCGTTTTCCAAATCCAAACATCTAAAAACTTATGGCGTTGCCTCTAAACTTTAACATGGCACCGCATGCAGAGGCTATCAACTTCCCCAAGCCACCAAGAGACTCAAACGACGGCCTAAACCAAACCGTACCGGACATCTCTTTTCCAAAGTGGAAGACACCAAGTGCAAGTGTTGCAGGATGAACGAAGCATGTACACCAGAGAACATCGAGCGAGTCCGGAACAAGTACATGGGGAAATGTAGAGAGGCAGTGTAAGAAGAGATTGAAAAAATTGGAGGGGATAACAATGAGATAGAGGAAGCGTTGGGTGCACGTATGAATAGGTGTTGAAGACACTAAATTTCGAACGGTAATATTATATTATATAATATAATATTATTTTTTGTTATTATAAACTATATTATATAAATATATATTTTCATTAATTCAGGTTTGATTTTACATTTACAGGACCCAACAGAGGCCCAAATAAAATGATACCCAACAACCCGTTACACCCTAGGCCAACAACGCCCAATGGTTCAGACCCAACAAGCACGTGACCCACAATAGGTTAGGGTTTTCAGAAACCCTAACTCGTCCATCTCTCGCCTCAACCGCCAGTAGCAATGGCCGTTGGATCTAGATGAGATCCAACTGTCCATAATAGACCCCATTTAGGGTTTCATCTTATTGAAACCCTAGCTTCAAGCCTTCTCACCTGCGCCGCATCACCAAGACTCCAGGGGTATAACGCCGCTCCAGCTCTCCTTTCACACATTCAACACCAAGTTTCAAGGCATTTTATCCCTCATGCAACAACCGCAGCAACGTGGATGTTTGGGACACCGAAAAAATAGCAAACAAGCCAATAGTTTAGTTCGATTAGGACTCGGAAATCAAGCTAAAAATAGGTTATTTTTTAGAGTATAAATACATGTAAGCAAGACCATTTGTAGGACAATATCAGAGAGATCACCACGAGGTAAATACGCACATAAACTCACAATAGCAAATACAAGGAGAGTCCAAACACTTGTAGAGCATTTCGAAAAAGAAATAAAAGAGGTATATATTTCAGTTTTTTTACCTTCGTTTCGGTCGGCTTTTGTTGCATGCGTTCTATTTTTCTTTTTCAAACCCCAAAAAACGAGCTTTAGACCGATGAACGGATGGGCGTTCTCGAGATCTTCATTTGTAGATCTAGCCCCCAAGGTCAATAATCTTTGAAAAATGTTTTGATTTTCGAAGTGGGGGATAGAAAGAGGTTTCAAATGGTGCAAGAAAATTCTGATTTTGCCGTCGATGACCGGCGGCCGACATCGATTAACAGCGGCGGTGAGGCGGCGTTTTTTGGGTTCTTGAAGAACCATGGCGGCGTGTTCTTCATGCTGAAGAACACATGAGAGAGAACGAGGAACAGGGGGAGAGGTTTTCTGGTTTTGCAAATGGGAAATGGAAAATTAAGAGAAAAAAATTAACTTATATAGCTTGTAACCCCCCAGACTCGGTCTGTAAGTTAGACTCAAACTTAAGTGGTCACATATCCCATTCAGAGGTTTTTTTTTATATAACTTATAGAACATTAAATATAGTACAGAACAAAATATTAATAATACACAGATATGTCCAAAACGATATCAAATACATGTCACCAAACATAACTGAAAAACATATAGAAATATATGTTCGTACAAAATAAGTAGTAGATTTCCCCTGATGCCAAATCTGCTAGTTCACGGTCTGCTGTTATCTAAAAAAGGGTAAAAACTATAGAATGAGCTAAAAAGCTCAGTGTGCTCCAAACAGTGTATAAAACATAAGAGTAAAATATTCTAGTAAAAATCAGTTATCAAACATTTTTTTTATGAACACTACCCCCATCCAGCAAGTCCAAAATGTGTAGGTTCCCCAGAACCATACACCCGCCAACAAGTCCAGTAAGGCCCTGAGCACACAGCAGAGGAGCCGGTAAATAAGGTCCTGAGCACACAGCAGAGGAGCCTCCAGGTATACTTCCTCCAATATTACCCCCCAAATAAATCATGTTTCGCTTATAACGAATATATATATTTTCAAAAATTAAAACATAATTCAGGTCAGGTAACAAATCAGAATCCATGTCAAGTATCATATAAAAATTCAGGTCAAGTATCATATTTGAATCCAGGTCAACAATCAGGTAAACTATTTATATGATAGTTTAAAACAGTAAAATAACACCGTCAGGAAACACACCTGTAACAGTATGAGAAATCAGATAGGGAAGCCTATTACTGGGTTTGTCGATCACGCTCTGCTGCAGCGCTAGATCATACGAATTAGAAAAATTCATATTGGAATTCTACTATAAATAATCTTAATCTTTATTTAAAAATATACGGAAATCTACGGGAAATTCTTGTAATACGCGGTTCGGACTGATCTGACGAACGAACAACACCGGACCTAACTGATCATTGCTCAGGTGAAACACGAGTACCTTCATAAAATATTTTATTGAATCAATTCCTTAACCAAAACTCTTAAAAATAATCAAAATATTAAGATACTAAGCCTTTTTGGGTTCACATGCTCGATTTGGGAATTTCGGGTCAGAATTTGGCAAAACGGACTTCGGAATCAAATTCAGGACGTCGAAAAACATAAAGTATGA